AGTTGCCCAGGTGAGTCTCGAACCTGCGGGCTCAGGCAATCCACTCACCTCAGCCTCCCACAGGCGCGGGATTACGGGCTGAGCCACCAAGCCCGGCAAGGCAATTCTTTATGTCTCAGTCTGGCGAGATGTTAATTCCACAGGGAACTGCAGGTTCCATGGCGAATCTATTGTGTGATCTTGAGCAAGTTTATTATCTCTGTAATGGGAGTGGGGATAGGATAGGAGTGTGTTGAGCTAGAATGATAGCCATTGCCCTTTTCAACTTTTAAACTCCAGTGGATCAACAAAAAGAAGCCTTCTGGCAGAGCTGGAGTGCAAATAGCAGGAACAACTGTAGGGGGCCATGGCCTAGGTGGGCTTCCCACAGGCTGAGGGAGTCTAGAAAGACAGCTAGTGGGAAAGAAGGGAAAGAGGAGGGGTGGAGTGGGGAGGAATGAGTGGAAGTCAAATGGAAATGGAGGACTGCGGAGAGGAGGGGAGGGGTGGGTGGGGAAGAGGAGGAGGAGGAGGAGGAGGAGGAGGACATGGCTCTCTGATTGTATGTGAATCTTTGCGCCTTCTTAAAGTAGAGCTTGAGGAGTGACTGTCCTCTCGATGAGTTGCTCAGCTTAGCTTCAGGAGCCTGATGTAATCCCCTGAAGAAGGGCAGAGGAAGGGCTGGGTCTTATATCCTGGTTCCAGGGCCCCAGTGACAACAGATGGCATAGGGATAAGAGCAGAGACTCTGCTGTTACAAGGTGCCAGATTGAATCCAGCATCGTGCTGAAAGTATATTAGGGGAACAGGTTTTTGTTTTCGTTGTTTGTTTTTTTGAGACAGGGTCTTACTCTGTCGCCCACACTGGAGTGTAGTGGTACGATCGTAGCTCACTGCAACCTCAACCTCCTTTGCTCAAGCCATCCTCCGGCGTCACCCTCCTGAATAGTCAGGACTACCGGTGTGCATCAACACGCCCAACTAATTTTTTTTATTTTGTAGAGACAGGGTCTCACTATGTTGCTCAGACTAGTCTGGAACTCCTGGGCTCAAGCAATCCTTCCATCTGACCTCTTAAAGTGCAGAGACTACAGGTGTGAGCCACTGTACCCTGCCGGGAATAGGTCTTTAAGTTAGCTTCTTCCTCTGTCCAGTGAGCTCCATCAGGACCCCTCAAAGATGCCACACATCCACCAAAATGCTAGTTCTGTGTCCTCGCTGTGTAGGTGCAACTCCCAGACGAGCCTCCAAGGCCCTTCTCTGCCAGATGGTGACTCTAAGTCCTCTCATATAAAAGTTCCAGAGCAAGCTGCTTCAATCTTGGCTCTGCCACTTGTGGGCAGTGTGTGCACCTGCAAGTCACTTAGCCTCTCTGAGCTCTGGTTCCTCTCAGAGGAGCAGAATTCTTATTACCTTACAGGATTGGGACATTTCTGGAGTTGATGCTGGGAGGCAAGTGCCTTGCACAGTGTCCTGCACCCACGACACAGCCAGGAAACATTCTTTGTTTTCCCTTTCCTGCATTAGAAGTTGCAGCAAACTTGGAAGGGGATACAGGGGAGACTGAGTGTTCTTTCAGTAGAACTCTGGGCGGTCATATGATGCTCTCGGGGTCTGTGTCTTTGGGTGACATACTCTGAAAGCTTTAGAAAATGGACAATAATGTGAATAATTCTTTTTTATTCATTTTGTATTTAATAATTAAATTCTAAAAGTGAAAAGAAATGCAGTTTTTACTTTTTCTTTTGTTACAAAAAGCAACAGGTAACTTTGTAAAAGTCAGAAAATACCAGTATCCCTTTGATCCCATCCTGGAATCTTCTGCTACCAGCTGGACCCACCAGAAACAACGAAGAAGCATTTCTGACCACATTACAAATTCGAGAAAGTAGACATGATTGCATTTATAACAATAAAAGGACAGTCTGCAGGGTATTTTTTTTTTTTTTTTTTTGAGTTGGAGTCTCACTCTGTCACCCAGGGCTGGAGTGCAGTGGCACGCTCACAGCCACCGCAACCTTGACTTACTGGGCTCAGATGATCCTTCCACCTCAGTCTTCTAAGTAGCTGGAATTACAGGCATGTGCCACCATACCCGGCTAATTTTTTGATTTATTATAGAGACAAGGTCTCAGCAAGTTACTCAGGCTGGATTCTGCAGGATATTATTCCACCACAAACACACAGCTGTTTCGACCCAGGACAAATATTAAGAGAAAGTCAACATATCTAAAAAAAGATTTATCAATGTGCCCAAAATGGAGTTTGCCCATAGATAGGAAAACCATGCATTGTTGTGTTTCAAAAGTTACAAAACCCAACAGGCAGCGGCAGGACTAACAGAGTCTGCGCTGAAAGTGTCTCCTGGTGAGTGAGCAGGTTTCTGTCTGGTTGTTTTCCACACGAGGGAGGAGGAGAAGGGCTATTTACATCCCATGCTGCGCGGCTCAGTAGTGCCTGTTCATCTTCTTGAACTTGCAGTGATAATCGTCGGTGACCTTCTCATTGGCAGGACGCTTGCGGTTAGGAGGGGATCGCTCAGGCTCTGGCTTCTCCATGTCACCTACTCTCAAGGGTTGGGCCTTGGGCTTCTCTCTGTTTCTCTGTATGGGGGCATTGAGCTCCTCATGATAAAATCAGTTGTGTTGCACGTAATTCACAGCCATGTTGGTAGGCGCAAAGGAGGTTATTGCTCTTTCTTCTTGTTCTGCTGCTCTGCTAGCAGACGGGCCTTGGCATCCTCCGTGGAAATGATATTTTTTATTTTAGCCTCAATGCCAAGGTCCACCTTGGGGATGACACTCAGCATCTGGTTGGAAAGCATCTCCTCCATTTTCTTTGCTGAGGAAACACGAATGTTCTCTGGAAGCTCATAAAGACAGTCCTCTGTGTTCTTTGGCTTGACTTTCTGTTCCTCATGTTCTATAATCTCTTTCCTCTTCTTTACCTCTGTCTCAATGTACTTCATCATGTCCATGTCTTCATCCCTTTGGTTGGTTTCTTCACAAAATGATGTCCCCAAGTGAAGGTCTTCCTCTTTAGTGATCTTAGCTTTGTCCCTTTCCTTCAGCTTCTTCATATCCACCTTGCCACCTGTCTTCATCTGAAAGGGATCATCCACTAGAGTGGTCTCTTCTTGAACCTTCTCTCCTACTAGTAGGGCCACAGCACTCACTCCGTTGGACCTCTTCCTCAAGTTCTGCATCTCCCTGGTCTCTTCCAGTTTTAATCGAACCTCCTCTGAGTCCTGCTCATCTTCCTCCGACTCTGAGTTGACCCGGTACCAATGGAAAGTCTTCCCGGTGACCGGCATGGTGCTGCTGGCTCTGTGGTCCAGCCACCATGCCGCTGTCCCAGGGCCCAGGCTACTTCAGGCGCACTGGAGTCGCAAATAATTCTTGTCCGTAGAAACATTCGTGAATATTGTCCCCTAAAGATACATCTAATTTCTGTTCTGAATAACAGATTATTCAAACATGACACTTTACTGACCTGTAGATAGGGACTGGTTTTTGTCTGTTGGCAAATTCATTTCAGCCTTCCTGCCTGCCTATATGTGGCAATTCTCCAGGCTCTGCTTTGGAATGACTGCAGCATCTTACTGGTTCCTTTATTAATTGGTGAGTTAAATGATGTCTTTGACATGTGTTCATTCTGTATTTGCATGAGTCATGACTCTACCTTTGAAAGTGATATTTTAACACCTACTTCCCTGATGATTCATAAATCACAAACTCAGATCAGGCTTTCATCATCCATTCCCCACTGCTGATTTTATATTAAATTCCAAGTCGCTCATTCATCCCCTACCACAACACACAAACAGAACACACACACACACACACACACACACACACACACACACACACATGCACGCGGGTGCACGCTCATCTCTCTACACACTCAATATTCCCTATACAACCATAAAAACAGTAGGGTTTTGTTGTTGTTTTGTTTTGAGAGAGAACTGATAAAAACACAGGCAGCTGGATATTTGGGACTGAATGGGGATTGACTATCTAAGATATGAGGCAGACTTGGAGACACAATTGTAAGGACTGAATGAGGTAGTACACTCAATAGGGAATAATATCATGTGTTACTTATTCCGAGTCTAAGTGTTACACCAAATACCAACTTCAACTCCAGTGAGAGAATTGTATTGACCAAGTCTTGGGTACTAGATGTTCTCTGGGTGACCCCTTTGACTAGTTCCCTTTACTGATGCCTACAGAGAAGCAACAGACAGATTGGCTTCTACTCTGGATGACTACCAGAGTCCTCCCAACATGCCCACTGACTCTAAAATACGGTGGGGCTCAGGAGAAAGCAGTCATAGGCTCTTCTCTACACCATCATGACTCCAAGTGAGGTCTGCAGCCAGCAGCACTGACATCACCTGGGAGCTTGCTCAGGCCACAGCCCAGACTTGCTGAAGTAGAACACGCAGTTTAAAAAGATTCTCCGTAGTTCCTGTACTCAAGAGCTTGAGAAGTGCTAGTGATGAAGATCCCTCTAACCTAGGAGCATGAAGCCCTCATGTCTGTGAATCTTGTGGGCTGGGTCACATGGGCCTGCCACCTTCATCTTTCAGAGCCTGTTTCCTCATCTGTAAAGGATGGATGATAACCTCTGAGCCCAGGGCTGTGGAGCCATCAAGTGCGTGTAAAATCACTGTCCAGTACCACTGTCCAGTACTATAACTTGTTTAAAGGCCAAGAGAGCCCCAAAGAAACGCTAGTGTGGTGTGGGGTTGACAGATGGCAACCAGGGATCAGGGTGGCCAGGAACGATTCCTGGAGCCGACCACAGAAGACCCTTTCCCTGACCGCTTGCCCGCAGCAGACGACAGCTCCATGCCCAACCCTCATTTCCTAAGGCCTTTCTGGGACATCTACTCAGGGATTGGCCCTGGGGCATTGCATATCAGGCTCTCCTCCTTATGTGTTTTGTGGACCAAATGAAGGGAGCCTTTTGCCTTCAGTAGACACATGGAGCAAGCGGGCAGAATGAAATCACTTTAATAGCATAGCAACATTTTAGGACCAGGAGTCACAGATAAAGGAAACAATTTGTCTTCCATTTGCACAATTCTGCTGAGGTGTGTGGTTGCACTGGACAATCTTACAGACAAATTTTTCACATTGAGAACTTAATAAATAGATACTTCAAATGTCAAACTTCAGAGACAACGAGTTATGAGCATGATTGTTTTCTTATTCTGCCTCCTCCTGTTACGGAGGCCGGGTCCTCTAGGAGGGGTACTCATACTCCTCGGCACTGCGCCGGCCAAAATCCATCCAGCCCATGTAGTCCCGGTCACTTATCCTGTGGCTGGGGTCCAGGCTCTGCAGGTTCTTAATGGCAGACATTCGGCCAGAAGGAGCTACAAGGGGCAGGGAGGAAGGAAATGGGGCATCATTAGTTCAATTTGTCACTAGTTCAAATTGTGAAGGAGAACAATGGAAAAAAGCCAGATAAAATATGACATACATATTATTACATGTATCAAAGAGCTATCATGGAAATGGAATTGAGGGACCAAAAATATGAGAGAGGAAACACTCATGCCTGTGTAACTGGAGAGAGGGCAGTGTTTACTAGTTATGGGTGTTTTTGTGTTCTATAAGTGGATTCACTTCCTCCTGCCTTGTACAGACTGGGGACTGGCTTAGACTTTCCTGTCTCCCTACCCCTCATGGTGTTTTCTGTGTGTAGACAGCCCTCGGTAGAAACCAAGCAAAGGTTTCCCAGTACTTACTCATTTCTAAATTTCATCCCTTAAGATCCCTGAACATACCTGTCTTGTCTGAAGCGCTCTTGTTAACAAGGTGTTACTATTACAATATACTGACGCTGGAATGGGTTAAAAAGAAGATGAATTCAAGTTCTATTGCTATATAAATATTGTTTAAAAATCATTAATTGGAAAGTCATCTTTTTAAAGATAACATTCAGAACAAGACACCTCATCAGATTAAAATCTTGGCATCTCAGTAACACTCAAAGAAGGGCAGATGAGTAATGATAATAGAGTTAATTTAAATCAGTCATTTTGACCAAAACGCACCAACCGAACCTGAAATGGGCCCTTTGGAATGAAAGTTAAGACTTCAGGAACAGGGTAATTGTCATCCTGAGTGAGCCAGGACCTGAAGAGGAAGTTTTTTTGGAGGCATGTGACAAAGTCCTAGTCCACAGGTCATAGACAGTGCCTCCTGGGGTATGAAGCCAGTATAACACCTTCTCCTGTGCCAACTAAGGGTTAAGAAAGGCCCTTCAAGGGCACGCGATGGACAAAGTCCAAGCTAATTCACTGAGGACCACTCAATGGTTCCCACTGTGTTGGGAGCCACTGTGTCCCCACCTCTTGTGATGCTGGCCTGTAGGTTTGCTGCATGAGGCCCTTGCCAGCTCTTCCCCACAGGCTGAGTAGAGTCAGATTATGACTTTTATTTATTTATTTTAATCCAGGTCTCACTCTGTTGCCCAGGCTGGAGTGCAGGAGCACGATCACGGCTATTGCTGCCTCGACCTCCCTGGATCAGGCAATCCTTCTGCCTGAATCTCCCAAGTAGCTGGGACTACAGGTGCATACCACCACACCCAGCTTATTTTTAAAAATTAAAAAGAAATTTTTTGGGGGAGAGATGAAGTCTCACTATGTTGCCTAGGCTGACTTCGAACTCCTGAGTTCAAGCAACCCTCCCACCTCAGCCTCCCACAGTGCTGGGATTGTAGGCATAAGCCATTGTGTCCGACCTGAAACTATGGCTTATTTATCAATAAATGATGCCACAAAGGCAGATGCCCTGGGAAATGAAATTAAGTAAGCCAAATTAAAAACAATCATGCAGGACACTATTCCCACCCTTTCTCCCCTGGCCCTGTCCCTTCTCAGTTTTGAAACTAAGAGTTAATGCAGCACATTTCAGTCTTTTTGGCAGATATTCTCAGTCCATGCAGAAGACAAGCAGCCCCTGGTACTTCATTGTTCAACATCTTTCAGGTGAAATATTAGTCCTTGAAGTCAGCAAAACCTGCAGACTCAGTTACCTGTCCACAGTCATCTGACCTGTCCTTCTGTCTGCTCTGATGATGGACACCCATTCTAAAGGCCGGGCACAGCCTGAATCTCCATCTAATGGAAACAAAATGAGCACGCAGCCTCTGCTATTGCTGGGGGCACCATGTTCAGTCATGGCTGCTGCATTGACTATACATGTCAGTCTCCCCATTCCACACACAATTCTCTTTTCATGTTGTATGCGTTGACCAGAGTCCTCACTCACCTCCCCAGTGCTGACATAGAGTAGGGGCTTTCAAACGATTTATAGAATTGAGTTGAAGGACCTGGCTCCTTTAAACTTGAAGACACAGAATGGACAGCACAGCTTGGAAGCTGACGGGCTTCCAGACCCTCTGGGGAGGGCAGGACTTGGATAGAGTCTCAGCCCTGCTGTGTAGTAGATGTGCAACCACATGCAGGTTCCTCATGCTTCCAGAGTCCAGGATTCCACACTGACAAAAAGGGCATACAAATACTTACTGTGCAGGGTTGTTGTGAGGACCAGCAGAGACAATACAGATGTAATATCGGGGCTTTGCTAGGCACAGGGTAGGTACACACGAAATGCCACTAGATACCTGCCCCACCCCTCTCCACTAAAACTGTTTCTTTTTGGACCAATGAAAACTCTGCAGAGAATTCCTAATGATAAACTCTTTGGCGCTGTTCAAAGGGTGCATTGTCTTGTTTAGAACCTTTAAGCATAAAATGGAATATAGTTGAGTATAAATCTGATGTGATCTCAAAATATGTAAAATATCCAAAGAAACTGTGCAGTATCTATATGTGTAAATGTTTATTTGTCACGCAGAAGATTATGATTGTTTTCCAGCTAGTGTTGATCCTAGGTGTGGGCAGCTAAACTTCCAAGTGCCGGCCATTCCCACTGGGATATGTTAGGCACAAAAGGCTGAAGGTAAAGCAAGGTGGGGGGAGGGGTTTGAGAAGATGGACTAGGAAGAACTTTCCAGCTAAGATTTGTGCTGTAAGAGCCACTGTCAAGAGCTGGTTCTAGAAAATAATTTGGTAATCAGCTTTTTTCTTTCTTTCTTTTTTTTCTAGAACTGTTTCTTTTGGGTCTTTCCTAAATTTGGAGAGAGAGGTTTTAGATGGTTCAATGAATCTCCTAGGATATTTTAGACTGGTCTGGCTGAAAGGCAGCCCACATCTGGGGGTAAATACAAAATTACCTTCAGACAGAGAATCAGCAGAGACCCAAAAGCTTTCAGACTTTCTTTGCCATCTGATTAGTACTTCTATCTCTTTCAATTTAATTAGCAGAAAGGCAAAACAGAAAGTGATCATTGGGGCAATTTTTCAGAGAGAGAAAGAAATATAACAAATAACGTTCTGGGCTTTGCTTCTGAAGTCCCTTAGTCAAAGAGTTCCAATCTCACCTTCAGATGAAGCCATAGGAGACTCTGCAGAGCCAAGCCTACCATCTTCCTCCTCTCTGGTCAAGCCATGGGTTAGGAAGCAAATCAAGGCCCTGACACATCAGCTGAGTAAGAAAGCCTCATGGGAAAGGGGACCCCCCCCCACACATCTCTTCCAGCAGTGTTTGCTGAATGGTTTTAATGTCCTGCTGTGTTTGTCTGGTTTTGCACACTGCTGCACTGCCAGTGTTATCCTTGGTGTCACTGTGGATAAAGTTGTTAGAAAAAAAGGCCCCACTCCAAAGCATGGTTCCCAAGGACCACAGAGATGCATGAATCACACAAAGAATTGAAAGGGGCTTAGGGGAATGCTAGCTTCATCTCTTTGCAGATGAGAAAGTCAGGCCCAGGAAAGGCACAGGGCTGTCTGCACACCTCTTAGCTAGGGGACTGCTGCATCACCTTACTCCTGGAGAAAGATTTTGATGCTGAAAATTCGGACTTGTTCAGCTCTTACTGCAACTGGGACCAACTCTCTAACAGAAAAATAAAAGCAAACACATTTCTTGTTGGGTAATCATTCTTAAGTCACTGCCAAGGAGAACTCAAAACTGCTATTGATTCTTTCCTCCTGTAACACACTTTCCTAAAAACGGATACATTGTCTCTTCTTAAACTGTTGTTAGATCTCAAGAGTTCTCAGCACTGATCACTTCTTGCTAGATGGTTTCCAAGTGTCAGTATCTGAGTGGCTCCCAGGTCCTTGGCATTTACAGTAGATGGAATTTAGTGTAACTGGGAACCCTTTTCTAGGGCTCAATAATTATCTTGTAATGTCTTTATGCAATGGTGTTGAACTTAAACAATAACACTGTGCTAAAAATTAGTTCAAAGAAAGCTTTTAAGAAGGTTCCTTTCACTAATAAATCGAGTCCTCCCTACTCCCTCTCGGTTTGCCGCAAAGGATGTCCAGAAAATCGCACTGTCCCATGCAGTGTAACTCAGGAAAGAAAAGTGAAAAACCTGTCAGCTTAATGTGTTGCCAGTGTTTCCTAACAGGAGGTCACCTCCATCGGGCCCTAGGGAAGAGGGTCTGAGATCCCGGAGCAGGGCAGGAGTGCAGGATGGGGCGGCGGCATCCTTACCTTTACGAGCCTGCTGGATGTATCTGGCCAGCAGCGCGCCCAGGTGCGCCCGGGACTCGCTGTCGGTTCTCTGTACAGCCCTCAGCTGCCTCCGAGGCGCCTCCTCTGCCCGCTGCAACCCGGAGCCCGCGGGATCCGCGGGAGACACGGGCTGCGCCAGGGCGCCCGCCACCAACACCGCCATCAGCACGCACAGGCACACGCCGCTGTTCATGGCTGCGGAGGGCAAAGGAGAAAGGGGCGTGAAGGAAAAGCCCGGGCCTCCGCGGGCTCCTGGGGAGGGTCGGGCACCCAGAAGCGGGCTCAGACCAAACACCGGCGCTCCAGACCCGCCGGGCCAGCGGTGCCAGCACCAGGCTCGCCAAGCGCAGACCCCAGCACAGCGCCACGGCGCGCGTGTCCAGGCGCCCCTGGCTCGTCCTTTGAGCAATCCACACGCAGGGCCCAGAGGCGCACGGAGACCCTGTTTTCTGCCGTGTTTGGCGTAAGGAATGTCCTCCGCTCTCCTAAACTTTGCAGAAATGTTTGTCCAGTGCTTCTCTTCCAACTGGAAAAGCACGAGATTAAGACCGGTGTGGGAATATCCTAAGGGGAAGAAAGGAAGCGCCTTACCAGATAGCTAAGAAGCTTTCCGTGGGGAGAAAAACAGTAAATGGTGAAAAAGGGAGAAGTTTAAAATGTGGGGGCAATGAATAAAAGTCATATTTATAAAGTTTTCTCAAGGCGTACCCGGGAAACTCCAATAAACCATTACACAAAACACAAGCAGGACTTTAAAATCAGAAGTGTGTGCCCAGCCCTCCGTCGTTGCCAAAGTCCTGCTGCATTTTAGACCCGCGAGTGGAAAAAACGCCAGCACTTCTCTATCTCTAAAGCCCCGGGATGTTCTGCAGTATTTAGAAAATGAATTTAAATCTTAAGACCTCCCGATATTGTATTTGAAAAGATTGCAGAGTACACCGCACCGCTAGGTAACAGCTAGCATATCCCAACCTGCACGCGAATCCTGGCAAACAGATATTTCTGGTTTTATGCAAAAGAGAGGCAGACCCGGGTGTGTGGACGTCTCTGGAGCAGCCCTGCCCGCCCAGCCCTCATTTTTAGATCCAGATCCGCTATTTCTGACTTGAAGAAATCTTTCGAGCTGTCGGAGGGAAGACAGAAAAGAGAAAAACAACATGGAAAGGGGTGGAAAACGGAAGACAGCGTTCTCCCAAGACGCAGCGCACTCGGATTCCCCGCCGGCGCGCTCAGGAGCCTACCTTTGGGGTCGGGACGCAGCTGGCTGAGCGCTTCTCCGGAGCCGCCAGGCAGCAGCGCCAAGTTCAGTGCGGGCGGGCGCGCGGCCGCCTCTTAAAGAGCCCCTCCCGGCGCGGCCGGCCAGTCATCTGTTTACCCAGCGCTGACGCAGACCGGCAGCAACACGTGCTCAGAGGGCGGCCGCTGGGGCGACAACCGACTGAAGTGGCTCCTGGGGGCGAGGGGGAAACGGCCCAGCGGGTACAGTTATTAACAGTAGCACTATTTCTGCAAATAAGTTGAAAATTGTGTAGCATTATTATTATCATTGTTATTAGAATTTAAAGAATGATGTGTCTTACAATCTATGGTGTCATAGATTTGGTGAAATTTGAGTATTTAAAGGATAAGATGAAAAGTAGGCCAGGCTCGGTGGCTCACCCTGTAATCCCAACACTTTGGGAGGCCAAGGCCAGTGGATTGCCGAAGTCCACGGATCTGAGACCAGCCCCGGCAACTTGGTGAGATCTCGTCTCTACAATAACTC